TAAAAATAATAAAGTTACAGTGTTTATACTCGAATCCATAATGGGAATATTTTTGTAGTCAATCAAGTTGACATAACACGAAGCAGACAGTAGCTACGAAAGTTAAACACATTCTTCTGTTTTGGTAAAGCATAAACGGGTTTTACTCAAATATTTTAACATGGTTTTGACTACATGCTCTTTGTTATTTTAAATAATCGGTCGTAGTTTGATGTCATCTTATATTACTGGGAATCTCTAAATATCGTAAGACAATGTCAACATTTTTCGTCTGTCTGTTTCTCCGCTTACATCTTTTAAACTATGCGATGGATTTTGCTACGGTTTTCACTATCATTTTGAGAATTTCTTCTATATGTGTACTACATATAGTTGTACTCCATCACATATATAATTGTGCGAAGTTTGGTCGTTTGTCATTACTTAGTGCCTTAATGGATCTGTGTATGAATTTTTTGAATATAATAACAATTTCAACAAATGTATCATCATTCATCTCAAAACTAGGACTAGAAGCGGTTGTTTTATTATTTATGCAAAGTTAAACATAAATATAATTACACAACCGTATCTGGTCGATACCTGACAGCCGAATGTAATCATCGTAAACCGTGACGAGATTGTATCGTTATCGGATAAAATTCCGAATCAAAATCGATATCAACAAACAGACATCTATAGAAAACTTTCGCAATGTGTATTTTATCATTTTAGTCACACGAAAATTATATTTATATAAAAGGTGTGAAATAAACATTTTAACAGCGCTATGTTCGATTTTTACTGTTACATCAAATGTTAATTATATTTTTTTCACTGTCTTTGCTTTCTAAAACACAACTTGTAAAGCAAACTGCTTGGTGCCTGAAGGTGAAGTAAGACCAAAACGTAGAAATTTTTTACAAGGTAGAAATGCCATAATGTATTTATAACAATATTTATATAAGTTCACGATAACTTAGTATTAAAATTATTAAAAAAGTTACAATTAATAGATAGAAATAGTCAGATATAGTATATATATTAGTAATCTTCCATTGGACCTTGTCATAATAATAACACAAGTCGAAAGATTGTATTGTGTGTATGGAAATATTGATATTACCACAATTATATTTTTATACATTAACAAAGCACTAGGTACATTATATAAATAAATAAAAATGTCAATTGCATTACTACTAAAGCATTGTCCAATAATATTTTGAATTTTTTCAGCGATCATAAAGTTAGAATTTATTAATTTCAATTAATAATATACGAACTAAACTGATCAGACGCATTTCCTTTATTGCCTGCAGTCAATTTAATAGATAATTTTAGTGATGAAAATAAACCAAAGTTAATGTTCAAATGAACGTCTGTTGCAAATTGGTGCAAATTGTTATGTATCCGCTCAGCGGAAGTCTGGATTGTTTAACATTAAACTGACATTGTATTTATCTCTTTAAAAATACACAATGTTTTCGCTAATCTTTTTAATTTAAACAAGTTTAAATTAAATAATATTTCAACTGTTCATTCGGTATATATTTGCATGGGAATGTTTGATTTGGAGTAAAACCGGAAGAATTGGTATTAGTCTATAGTTGTTGTCTAGATTTGACCTCAATTCGCCAAAGATACGTTATTTTTTTATTTTTAATCCAACGGAAACTGGTTTTCAGTATTAATAAATAGAACTGCTCTGGAAATTTATTCCGATCATATAAACATTGGTTTAGACAGTTTCGCATCTTTTTGTCTATTGAATCGCTTTAATTTCTATAGATTATATATTATTTCTCTAGCAACGTAATAATTGTATATTTTATTGATAATAAAAAACTAAAAGTTTTTGAAATCAGATTCTAGAGTAGACTTGTTGGTTCTGTTTTTTTTGTTTTGTATCAATTTAAGAACTTTTGTCCATTTTGGTACGCTAGTGCCATCCTACCTTAATCTTAAATATAAATAAAAAGTACAATTATTTAGTCAAAAGAAAAGGAAAATAGACAATAAAAAAATCACATTTAATTACCGTTTTAGTTACTAAGGCTAACCAGATTATTATAATCAAATTTGTCAGGTTTCATAGTAGGTAATACTGTTGGACTTATAAATATTATTGATGATTATATGCAACTATGTTTATTTCTGCACATGTAAATATTTTTTTGTTAACCTAACCTTATTATATAAATGTGAAGGTAACCATCTTGTTAACAAATGGCTATATCTCCTGCTGCTGACGAGTGGAGAGAAAGGTTGTAATGTTGTATCAATACACACGTGCACTTATACTTGTATTCTACACGGTCTAAGGTTCTATTCCAATTGCGACTATAATGCGACATGTGTGTGTCTTTAATTGGCATATATATCAGATATAAACCGCGCTCTGTTCAATTATACCTATTAATAATTTATACGCTGCAAGCGTATCTATAAATAAATGAATGATACATTCTGCAGAGGTTTAGACGCTATACCTATTATATTAGACAAACCTCCTGGCCTAGTGGTTTGTTATTCAACTAAAAAGGAAAGGTCATCAGTTTGAATCTAGCTAACACTAACACTAACGCTAACAGCTAATACCAAAAAAAACCTTGGCAATTTGTAATTGTAATTGACGGAAAAACCAATAAATCAAAATAATTCCACAGACTACAGATTCCTAGAGGGAATCCTTGGATTCCTAGGTTGGGTTCGAAATGTGGTCATGTCATGTGTTGCGATCACCAGTCGACATTGAGAATATATTGTTTATTAGTTTGTTAGTTCTATTAATAAAAGAACTAAGTAATAGTATTTTAGGGGTTGCCTTACCTGGTACTGGGAAAATGGTGAAACAGTCTGTGGTCTAATAACTTGGAATAGCACCTTTAGATTGTAAGTTGCAACATTAGATATAGATAGCACGTGCATACATTATATTCAAGAACAAATGTCCAGCCATCTAGTCAAATTAATCACTTAATTATGCAGTTGAAATGCATTTAATACATGTACACTATTATTTAGAATTCAATTGCAATAAAACTTTTCTGTTAATCGTTAATATTTATATTTCAGATTTTAGATAGATAATTTAAAAAAGCATAAGCTTCTCAAAACGTCATTTGTTACCTATATGTTACGACATATCTATTTTAATTAAGCGTCGATTTTAATGATTCTTTTAATTGAAATAATTATCCTCAATTATCAAATTATTAAAATATTAACGATGGTGTTATACTTAGACTTCATACAGTTTATTTAAATGCATGACGTCAAGATCAAGGCACAATATAGATTATTAGACATTTATCAACAAATATTATAAAGAGGTAAAGTTATTGATTTTGTGAGTTTGTAGGGGTAATCTCGATCTACTAAACAGATTTTTAAAAATCTTTTACTGTTACATAGTCCATTTATCGAGGCTATATAACATCACGCTACGTCTAAAGAGCCTAGTTAATACATGTTGCTAAAACCGTAAAAATATGATGCAGAGGAAATTGTGAGTCAGCTAGTGTCCCATAAAATGTTTCTAATTTTCATTCAATTCTATAAAACATTTTCAACGCCCGACGATAATATTATAATTAAAGGCTGATAAAAATGAGGTAAAAATATTTCTTAAAAAATATAAGAACAATATCCGTGACAAATAAATCAAAAATATATGTAAAAGGTGTGAATTCATAATCTGATTCAATAAAATAAATATAATACAGATGCAATAACATCAATACTATATTAAAATTAATTGACTCGTTAAACTGGGGTATCGGATAATATAGAAATACTGGAGTTAGTTATCTGGTTACCAAGTTACATTTGTGTTGAAAGCTGACGATTGGTGCGCCATGTTCGGGCCAGCCTTGCGCGTGCGCATACCGGTTTGTTTTGATAATTCTAACATCGCCTTGACACCGATGCACGTTAACGAATGTTTTCACCTTTTTTTTAATATTACTATAAATGGCTATAAATTCTCACGATTATTTAAACAAGTTATCTAAATCTAAATTAAGTTTTATTTACGTAACACTTGTGTCACGATCTTATTTAGAATATGTAGTCACTGTTTAAGCAAAAATAGAATGCTATGGCATGAGATAAAGTTCATAATGATATTAAGGGAAAAATATTTTATCTCGTATGGAATATGACTGCAGACTAGTTCATAATCATATTAAATGCAACGCAATTTGGAAAATATTTAATTTTAGTTGGATCTTGACGCAAGTATAAATCATCTTTGCAATACTTACTTAATTGGACTCTTACTCTGGGATCAGAGTAGGTACAACATTTTTATTAGTGGGTATATTAAAAATATTTTTACTCTTACTATTAAGATTAACGAGAAAATAGTACGCACTTACTGATCATTTCTTAGAGTTTGTTTAAATGTAAAGATGTTTGGGATATACAATCACATCTAAAGTTATGTAATTTATATAGGGTGCAGACATTTAAAAAAATCTATAAACTATTTCATACTTATAATTATTATATTTCTTTACATGTTTTTTGTGATTATATTCACACAATAATAATAAAATTTTAACACGCACACATCAAAAGCCATTTGGTATTATTTACATATAAAATATTTTAAACGTTCACACCAATTTTTCATTCAACATTTCATTAATGTATCAAACACGATAAGATATGGAAATCATACTTCTGCTAATAGTATCATTATTTACAAACGATAATTTATCTAGTTGTTTTTCACTATTTAAAAGATTAAGGCAAGTAAAGTAAGTAATATGAAAAAGTCTGAAATAAGTAGTAAGAGATATAATATTTTTCTATCACTAATATTTTATGACTATTTTAGCGGAGGTGCGAAGTGATATAACAGCACATTTTTTTTATTTTTCAACGAAATCCTTATCACAAACACTTCATTGTGACATGTCTGTTAGTAGAAATGCAAAATCCTTCACATTCAATATAGTTTTTAATTAATAACAGAAAAAAATAGTATAAGCAATATATTTCTTTGTTCTCAGGCCTCTTCAAAGGCTCGACGACAACGCTCGACGGGATCGGTCTACGACCGATGCCAGCCGAAAGGCCGAAGACGTTGAGGAAACTAAAATCGGTGTACGACGCCTCGCCGACAGAAGCGCCGGCAATCAACAGCGCCAACTTGAGCAGCAATGGACAGGCAGACAGGAACTTTAATGGGGTGGAGGAAGAAGTCAGAAGGCGGAGTAATACGACTAGTTCCAATCAAAGTGCGGACAAGTCGCTGTCGATCCTCAGTCCATTCGATGAGCAGGTAATTTATTTATTTGTATAAATTTAAGGCACACAGTACAAAAAGTAACAGTACATTTTGCGCACTTAACACCACGCGGTATTTTCTACGCATTTTACGCAGCAAGAATTATGGCAAATTAAACTTCATTTATGTTTATTTGTATAGATTGATTAAGGAGAAAATTAGAATACGTGAAGTAAGCATAGGATGCTTTATGAGCTGAGATATAACCCTTTACCTTATGCTTACGACTTTAAGAGTATTAGCATTATCTATACTTATAAAATCTTTTCTCAACTCGACTCAACTCTCATTTTCTCAAAGCATTCATCAAAATTGAAACTTATTATTAAATCATAATTCAGCATCTGTCAGAAAATAATTGAATATTCTTGTGTAATTATTTGTGCGATAAACCTCTGGAAAACAGCGAGTGTTATTTATAGGTACCTGTATAATGTCTAGTTCTTACTTGGAATCATCAGTAGTTGGTACTACTGATGATTACAGACTACCTAGTCTGCACCATAAATTTATGTTAATCTTGCATTTCCGGCCAACCATCCGTTGGTTGTGAATTCCGTTGTTATACCTAATTAATCTGACAATGGTGATAGGCCCGCCCCCCCATACAACATTACATTGAAATATGCTCGGAAAATGAGGTCGAGTATGATTCGCATACGCGACATACGATCTTTTTTTTTATTTGAAGAAATAATTTAATAAAATTGATATTACTTAATTTAGTAATAGAGTGAAAAAGTAATCGAAGTGGTTTATATCAAGAAGTAATTATAACACATAAATTTATTTTTTCTGTAAGTCACTATTTTAAGAGGATCCTTCGCATGTCAATCATCATACATAAATTGTCATACGTAAATGTTTGTCGTACTGTATTGCGAAACGAGCACAAATTGTACAGAATTCATTCAGCAGATCCTCTGTAGGCTGTAATTTCAATGAGGGCATGCATTATGTTTTGTTGTGCAAAATGCAAAATGTCAATTACGCAATGACTAACAGTCAACAAAGGCAGGAAGTAATGAAAATTAACGGTCCTCATTCTACCCTGTACGCACTTGTAGTTTGTTAAGTTAACTGCACACTAGAATATCAACAACACTAACATAACAACAAAACAGTAAAGAACGAAATAGAGACAAGTACCTAACTTTAATTTACTTACTAATGTTTAAAATTCAAATACTAGTAGCGTTATTGGAATGGTATTTATCTATTCGTTGTGGATTATTGTAAGATATATGTCAAGGGTATAGTACTGTTATCGTATTGTATACGATAATACTACGGCATACTAAATAATTTGAATTTTACCTGATAATGTTATGACATAACACACATCTCTGTATATGTATTTTCCATATGAAACTATTACATATATGGAAGTTTTGTATATTAATAGATAGTAAGCAAAAATGTATTTTAGATTTTTCTTGTCTTCCCTCCTCAAGTAGTTTTCCTTATTCGTGAAGGTCGTGACAACCCCGCAGAATTACTTTTTCTCTGAATACTTCCCTCTATTTGTGTCGTTCTTTTGCGTAGTGGATTTGTAAGGTAGTGTCCAGCGATGAGCTGACATGGTCAGACCATTTTGCGGAAAATGGTAGGTTGTTCATTTAAAATTAATAAAATATTACTTTAGTAATATTTAAAGGGATCAATAAAATAAATAAATAATTAAAAAATACAACTTTTTAATTGAAAAATCATAAAACATTGGCAACTAAATATATCGTATATTAACATACACACAAAAAACAAAAAGGTGCTTCTCCTTGTAAGGCAGTTGAAACTGGCTAAGAGTGAGTTGGATATATATGTTTCGAACTTCTTTCAATTAAATTTTCTTGGCAACTACGAAATAAATAAATCAATAAAACTTCTGTGTTCTGTAGATTATTAGAAAGTAATTAATTTAGAAATCATAAATAATATGTATAATTCAGGATTTCTAAATTATATATTCGCTTCTTATAAACTAATAACGTATTTAGTTATTAATATATTAATATAAGACGTTAAGTCCTAGGTATCAAATTTAATAAAAATTTTAATTTGATAACTCAACCCGTATATTTCTTGCTGTATTACTCAAAATAAGTGTAGCATTTATATGCTACACTTATTATTATTAATAAATAATTTGTTATTACTATGTAGTTACGAATTACACAACATAAACCTCTCTAATAAGATATATAACAATAATATTACTAAATCCCAAGAGTGATTGCGTGAAGATGGATAGAGGTTGATAAACTAAAAATATTAATTTAAAGAGGTTTTTTATACATTTACGTAGGAACCCTAAAAGTGCATCACATGCGGGCGTTATGCCCTCATATGGCGACAAGCTGTAGCTGTCTCCTCGATAAGATAAAACCGTGCGATGGAGGCAGGTGGACGAAGTTATGAAGCAGATGGTGTATTGTTAGACACCTTGTGTAAAAAATCATATCTGTCGCCTTTATTTCTATATTAATATGTAAATATAATACTCACAAGATAGTGCCGTCTGGTTACTCAAATCCGTGGTAACTAATAAAATATAATAGATGATAGTAATATATGTGAATAGAGTGAGAATACAACGACTATTTTGCTAAAAAACAGAATATTAGTACACAGAAGTAGTCATAAGTGACATATAAAAAACAGAAATCAAAATATTACAAAATTTATAAAAAGAATCGTCAGCTTATCAGCTACAATATAGACATATCTCATCAGCCCATCTAAACTCAATGAAACACATTGAATTTTGATATAAACATAGTTTATTACCGTCATTTAATGATTTATATAACAGACATCTAAACAAAAATGTCCAAACGTATCACTGGTAATCCACGATATTAAAGGAAAGAAAAAATATTTCTATTCCTTTCATACTCGGAATATGACTAATATGTCAACAAATACTAGTGATTGTTTATTATAATCATTATGTTTTTCATCTGCTTAGACACTTCGTTTTTACATATAATTTTACATATTCCTCACATAACATAAAAAACTCTTTTGTTAACAGGAGGAGTGGGCGAAAATCTCCGAGATAATGGCTTCGTTCGGCACAAAACTCGTACGCGAGTCGGTGTTTGTTAGCGAACTCGAACAGGAGTTCACGTCGAGACTTGGGCTCAGTTGCTCTGAGTCAAGTTTGAGTCCATCTGTGGCGTCCAACCTCGGACTCTGGTTGTCTGGCCTCGGGTTGCATGATTATGAACCTTTATTTTTGGACAGTGGCTATGACGACATCGATTTTATTGTAAGTTCTTTATATTTATATTAAAAGAGGAAGGCTTTGTGGAATGCAATGTATTTTGCTTTGATACGGCAGTGAAATTACGAGTTAGGAAACCATAACAATACTAATAACTCTAACTACTCCAGAATGGAAGTTCACTAAATTAAACACAATTGTTACCTTGTACTTTATTACAATGTAGAGATACCAGTGTTGTTGTTTACGTATATAGATTACCGGTTACTTTCATCGGAACTGTCGGCTTGTTTACCATTCAATTCAATTCAAATTCAATTCGCGTAAAATATGTTTCTTTCTGAATACTAAGATTACATTGATTACAAAAATTCGCGTATGAAGATATCTTGTAACTTGCACACAACAGATGTTTGTGGAATACAAAACATAAAATTGCAGAAAGATTAAATATCCCACATCTATTTCAGAATGGCATCTTAGACGAGAATGATCTACGCGAAATGGGTATAGAGGAGAATGATAGACATAAAATAGTAGAATCATCGAAACAGTTACCTCTTAAAATAGCAGAAATAAGCAATAACCACAATAATAATAATATAAGTAAAAACCAAAACGAATCAGTTGAAGAATGGTTACGGAATATTAATTTAGAACAATATAATGATACGTTTAGGAAGCATTTGTATGTCGATATGGATAGAGTGAAAAGGATTTGGGAGGTGGAGTTGACTGCTGTTCTGGAGATACAGAAGGTTGGGCACAGGAAGAGGATTCTAGCGTCTGTTTCTGGAGAGCAGAATGGGCCTGCCAATAATATGGAAGATATTAATGCTGATCTCAATACTTTGGTGAGTTTGTATATCTTTATGTCAGATTCCTTATTGTTCTACAAGTCTACTCTAGATTGTAATCTCATTGTCAATATTGATTAAAACCAATCCATTTTTGTACTGTTCTTCTCAATTATCAATCAATATTAAATCCAATAATAATGTCAGTTATTTATTTTATTGAAAATGAAGTATAATTAATATATTGCTAATGTATAATTTAAGAGGTCTGAAACAGCAATGATTATCCATTTGTATACATGGTTATTTGTAAAGGGTTGCTTGCCTGGCACACTAAACTAACTTTACTAAGAAGCAAAGCGGAGATTTGAAAAAAAAAATCGAATTTACTCGTATTATACTTAATTGTCTAAGTAACCGCGTAATTTGTATAAAGGTTTAATATTTTTAATTTTAATTAAACTACTAAAAGTTAATGAAGCAAGAATTGTTAGATATAAAAGGTATGCCAAGTCAATAGTCAGTAATAGTATTCATAAGACTTAATAAATTTCCACAAGGGTTATCGGTTTTGTAAATTGCCTCATCCATGAATTTGTGCTGGGGACTCTTTACATCTCTATCAGATAGCACAATTATATATTAGCTGATAGGTTATCTAATCATGACATGTCATTCTAACTCTCCCTCGGTATTCCACACTTCCATTTCGCAATGTATTATTAGTTATATATGCGATATGAAATACTGCTAAAATCAAAACGTTTTTTAATGTTTATTATCAATTAATAATTATACCCAATAATATAATATAATAATATAATAATGATAATATCCCAGAAGAACACAAACTCAAACAGTGCCATCTCAAGTTACGCACAGCTAGTGTTACGAGTACTAGATATCTGATGTATAAATACTTTTTAATGCGGTTTTTTTAGGTAAATAGATACATAATAAACATAGAAAATACTTAGAACGAACAAACAATCATATTCTAATGCTTGGAATCGAATCAGCGAACATCGGAAGTGAAGCGGTGCGTTAACCGCTAGACCAACGAGGTCGTTAAATATCATTGGCATTTATTAATATCTAATTTATGTGAATGTTTTTATATAATATACCTTCTTACCGTCACGACTATTATTTCGGATGGGATAGTCAGGGACATTGTCTACTCGATGTTGTGGTGAAAGCAACAGCAGATGTGCCTACTTTTAGTATATTTTGCTACGTTGTCGTAGCATGGGAGTCTATCGTTGTCTTTCGTTCTTTTAATAATTTTTGAGTATATATCGGTATTTTTTTTACCGTTTTAATTTCCATTAATATTTTATTAATAGGTACTAAGTACATGAGACAATTGGGTATTTATTTCAAAGACATGTTATTTATTTAAAAGAGCAACAAGCATATTCACTGGTCGTTCTTCTTGTAAGGAGTATGCATTCCGAATGAGTGGAAGAATAAGAAAAAATATGACTTATATATTTGACTAATATGATTATTCATTCATAGTGTTCATAATTTATATGTGTCTTCGATATATAATATACTTATGTCATTGCATATTAACTATTGTCAATGGATTAATCATAGTATTGATTGATAGTTTTTAAATGAATACATACATAAAATATAACGTTTATAATTTTATAGAGTTATTTAAATTAGATTTATTTCAAAAGAGGAATGAACAATAGATTGTAGTATCAATTATAAACATAATTTAAGGTTTGCACTTTACGTTTTTTTATATTAGATAAGACAGTAAGACAGTAGTCTAAAATATTATTAGTTTAATTAATTATGAGCAATGGCAGTAGTTTAAGCTGATTTTAATTTAATTTATTTTTAATGTTTAATGTTGTTAAAAAAAACAACCGAAGTTATAGCAAAATGCTAGTAAAAATAATAAAGTATGAAAACGTATACCTAAGTATGTAGTCGTGATATATTTAAAACTTTAAAAGGCGTCTAACCCACACCTCAAAATCTTGACGAGATTAAAATAGCTAATCCCTGTTAAATTGCTCATCTTGTAGTTAATTATCTTCACGCACGTGTAGACGGGGTGTAGCCAGGCAACACCCCGTCTCAGGTGTAATATTGGGGGCGGATAAAAGAGTAAATAATATTAAGGAGATGAGCATCCGATGATGACAAGTCACTAAAATTTGGGGCGTTAAAGTGATTTAGATGAGTGCTTAAGATGTTTAATTACATTCATGCTTATAAAACAAAATTAATTAATTAAAATAGTAATAAAAATAATCTTTTATGAAATAAACTTAATATAGGCACTTTTTAATAGTCATGTTTTATATTCCTCCACTTATTCGGAATGCAGATTTCTCACAAGAAGAACAAGCAGAATACTTGCGTGTTGCTCTTTTAAATTGGCTTTCTGATAATTTCAGAATGTTTATAGTAGGTACTGTATTGTATGTCCCTAATAATAGTGTAAATATAAAAATAAGTTTATTTGTTCTCTCTTAACCCGTATACGGATCAACCGAATTGTCTTACAATTCATGACCTCGGCGGTCTAGCGGTTTAACACACCGCTTTGCTTCCGATGATCGCAGGTTCGATTCCTAGTAACGGTACCAACAGTGGTATTCATAAGTATGATTTTTTGTATCGTCTGTGTGTTCTCTATATATATATAATGTATGTATTAAAAAAAAATATGTATGTATTTATAGCAGTTGTCTAGTAACCATAACACAAGCTCTGCTTAGCTTGGGACTAGATAGCGCTATGTGTATTGTCTAGGGATATTAGAAAAATGTCATTCACGTAGCATTTCCGGATATTACGGTTACGCGAACGAAGTCATATGTAATTACTAGTATGTATTATAGATATGAGCCTCTGCATACTTTAAAACCATCCACCGTAATTTCAGCACATGCATATTTTTTTAATTTCGCACGTCGGCGAACTCGTATAGGTAATTAGTGCTCAATTCGTCGTCTATTCAACATGTTCTATTCATACCGAGTGAGGCACTGCCGCGCTGCAACCGCAGTTTGGGTTCTGATGTGAAATACCACCAGAATATTAACCCCTACCAAGGAAACTAGTAAAGTTGCAGTCCATAATATATATATTTATTAAAGTAGCTTCCAGCTCTATTTCGCACTGGTGTAATAAAGAAAGCAATGAGTCTTTACTTTTTTCTGTATTTAAATAAAATAAAAACAATTAAATATTTATATTTTTACCGCAGTTTTCACTTTCCATAGTATTTTAAAAATTAAAGTTTATGTTTCATACCTTCTCCAAATAATAACAATAGGAATTTTTTTAAGGTGATGCAGTTTTATGATAAAATAAGTATGTCAGAATATTTGGTGATAAGCATCTGAATATAACTCCTTTTCATCCCTATTGTGTAGTAGGTTAAGTGATCATCAATAAACTTAGTAAAACATTTGTACATATATATCTAACATATTCTCTTGTTTCCTTTCTAATAACTACACCATTTTATTATTGTATATTATTATCATAATAATATATATTTGATAATAAACTGGTGTATCTATTTTCTCACTACTATATTTGATTTCGAGAACTAAAGGTAACGATCCTACAGGGGTGGTTACCATACCTACGCCCATTCGTGTTCATTCTAATGGAATATCATTCCATTCACTAAAAGCTGAATACACTACTCGCAATACCATTTTTTTATTAAATGACAAATCAAATTAGATGGTTCATGCTGTCAATTATATTCCCCTTTGTACCTTTTATTTAGTGTGTTAATTAAAATTTTACGCCATCTTTTCAATTTGTCGTTGCAACGCCACTTGTTTGCACTTCCAAAGTGTGAATCTTTTGGAGTGTCTTTTTGTATATTGTCACTTTCAAACCTTTTTTTTATTTAATTAGGATTTGTTTATCATTCTGCAGCTATGACGTGGTTGTCAACATTGTTACTATGAATAAAATTATTTGTTCTTTTACTAAAACTTGTTGTTTTATCAACAAAATTATTTCTTACTTAACTTTTTAACAATTAATTGTTAATGTTTGATTGTTAACAATTAATTGTTAAAAATGGACAGATACAAGGCTACAATTAAGATGCAATAGCGTTATTCCAATAAAAATACATTTTTTATGCTTATTTATTTTGAAATGTTTTGCACTAGTATTGGTAAATAAAGTTCTCTTTAAATTAACCTCAAGTTTGATTTGTTAATTTTGGTTTGAAATGGTTGGATTTTTGCTCCGAAAATTTAAGATTACACTTAATACTACTATTATTTTATCCTGTATTAAAAATTAAATGCTCTTATACCAATTTTTATAGGAAATTCCGCGAGTTATTAATATAAATAGTACAGTAAAATCACCCACTAAAATAAATCATGACTTTGAAAACTTATTTTACGCTTTTACTTCAGAAAAATAACATTCAACAATTGAAAGAAGAAATCAAAGAGAAATTACCACCGTCGGAGAATTTGAAACCAGTACCACCTCCGGTTGTGCCTACATTGGCGCCCCCTGGTGGTGAGACCTTGAAACGTAGTAAGAAGAACAGACCAGCTCCTCAGCCTCCTAGACCATCAGATCTTGAAATCAGGGCGCCTTCGGAACTGCTGGTCGGTGTTCCCGGGGCGCTGAAGACACAGTGGAAACATCAACCCTTCGTTCTTGTTACGGGAGCTGTTACATATGTAGCTAATGTAAGTATTTTATTGTTTTTTAAATACTTTAAAAAGGTAAACGTACTCCTATGCTCTACTATACACTCGTCTGACAAAACAAACATTCAACGAGCAATTTTACTCAATTTGTAACTGATTTATACTTGATGTTTCTATATAAATTTAAGAAGTACAATAATATTATTGAAATTCAAAGACTATTCTATAAATAGTTCCTTTTACATATTGATAATATATATTTTGTCCAAGAAATCGTACGTATTCATAATGAACAATTTTTTAGTTTTATTTAATTGTTTCTAAATTATAGTAAACCTATACAATTACTATATGTATATATGAAATGGGTATTAGAAATTCAAAGTCTACTTTTTCTTATCAGTATTTAGGATCAACTGTGGTGAAGGAGCTTCGAGGGACAGAATCGACGAAGAAGTCGATACAGAAACTGAAGAAATCAACCAAAGAACCAAGAGACTCTCCCGATATTATCCTGTCCATTAGTTATAGAGGCGTCAAGTTTCTAAACACGATTACCAGGGTAAGTTCTGAGCTTGGTTTCTATTTAGTCCTATCTTACTTCAGTATTTCTTAAACTGTGATCCGTAACCCGCGTATATATATATATGTATATATACTAGCTGTACACGCGACTTCGTCCGCGTGGAATTTAACTTTATTTTTCTGAAATAAAAGTAGCCTAAGTTATTCCTTATTACATCAGCTACCTGCCAATAAAAGTACCGTCAAAATCGTCCAGATATTTCAGAGATTAGCCGGACCAAACAGACAGACAGACAAATGTTATTTTGATATATGTATAGATTAATATCATAATATTTGGACATAATCAATAACCACCAAGTCTTTTAAACGGTGTTTAATTTTTATTAAGGAAGTTCTTAATAACTGTGTCGGAATAGTATTACTAAACGCTGCTACATATCACGTGATTGTTAAATATGAAAAAAAAAAACTTGAATGTTCCAGTAGAGTTTCTTACAAATTCTCAACTATAGTAACTAGATGAACTGTACTGCATATTAGGATAGAGTAGGAAAAATCCTATATTATCAACTGTATGTCTCTACAATTGAATACATTTTGTTCTTCGAACATTTGCAAAATATCACCAACATTATGTAGACCCCAACTGGTCTCCTTAAAAAAACTCGTTAAAAGATGTTTTTACTTTGTAAACCAACCAAGTGTATATTTCCAAAACATCCTTGGGTGGCAGACGCCTAAACAAAAAGGGCTGCGCACAAAAGATCTGACTTTGCCCGCTTGACTTTTAATTATGGATCTTTCTTCACACTTGATCGAACCAGTGACCAATCTTGCCTTTTGTTTCTTCGAGAAAAAAAAAATGGAAAGCTTTTTTCCCCTTTTTGTATAATAAATTTTGTTAGAACTCTTTACGGTTAGTTAAGTGGGATAATTAGTGTTTTTTTCTATGATGCTTGATAAACAGTATTGTTTTTTCATCAATTTTGGTTATTATGTTACGAAATTGTAAATACTCTGATAAATTCATTCTTTTCTTTTAGTAAGACAAAGAAAAAGACATTTAAAATTGTTTGATATACTTACACGATACTTACCTTCTATATGTCATTACATTTTTGCGACCTCTTTTTACGCTTCTTGTACATGAAAATCAACTTTAATATATACCCAATAAGCTACTGTTTTCATTGATTCACATTTAAATTCCTAACACTAGATATCTGATAGTGCCGACGTTGTCTATTGCTATCTTAAATAGCACATGCGTAATGAATTCACCTACATTTAAATTGTTTTCTATTAGGAGCTGATATGCGAACATGAGATTCGTAACATCCACTGCGCGTGTCAGGATGCCGATGACCTCACTCATTTTGCGTACATCACCAAAGACCACGCCACCAAGAGCCATTACTGTCACGTGTTCAGAGTAGCCACTATGGTAAGCTTAACTCTATAATAGTTAGATAAAATATCTTTGTGACCTACACGATGTTGAAAGCGTTTGCTAGTTATTGTAGAGAGTATGCTATATATATATATTTATTTTTTTTATTTTTATATATAACAGAACAAATATCGTATATTTTTAATAGGTCTTAAAAGTATTTTCGAGCGGCGATAAATTCCAACTAAAAATATGTGATAATAAAATTCGCATTAAAACGACCGCATTAAATATTTATCACACTTATCAAATTAATAAATTTTAAGTAAATAATGACTACATTTGCATTATTTTAAAAGTAATTTAACACAATTTCCATTAATTACAGGACCAAGCTACGGAAGTGATCCTCACACTAGGTGAAGCGTTCGAAGTGGCTTACCAGATGGCACTTAGAGAACAATCAAACCGAACAAGAGTGATGCAATCACAAGCCAAAACTCCCACACATGACCCCACAACTGTTAGCAATAAAGAAAAGCCAAATACAAACCACGGGAGATCACATTCCATAACTGAGATCAAATTGAACGGTCATCAGTTGAAAATTGCTCCAATCCCAGCTTCGTTGTCCAACGAAGATTTCCAAGCAGCCGCTAGAAATTCCGATGGTTCTAGAAGTCCTAGAACTCCTTTGTTAAAGGCACCTATAGCTTCTACTGAAGAGTTGTGAAAGCGAAGGTAATGTTCGGTTTTGAAAGATTAACTCGAACGAACAATTGTTTTTAACATTATTTTTTGTAATAGCGACTATATAATAATGACTGTTAATGAATACCATTATATTTCATGAGTTAATGCAACTGTCACACTAAAAAGTTGAAATTCCTATAAAGATTTTTGACATAATTTATAAAGAAAACTGCTTATTGTTATATAATGTAGACAAATGCTATGTATGTTGAGAAATAAATTAGAAATGTACGTTTTAATATTGAAAGGATCATTGGCAGGTACCAAAATATAACTGATCCTTACTGATATTCTTGTATAAGATAATGAACTATATTTTGATTTCGAAACATTTACGAACATAACCTAATTTATTTAACTAATGTATTATATTAGATAAATAAAACCAGTTTTACTATTGAATAGTAAAATTTTAGGCTGTTATATTTATAGTAATTCCTAATGATTGTATATTTTTGTTTTTTTAGCATTACTCCCTTACACTGTTCAGAGAAAACTTATATAAACTATTCAGAATTCTTGCAGCTATTCTTGGTCCAAGTTATTCGCCGGATTTTAAAATCGTTAAACTTAAATATGAACACGTAATCGAGTGAAAATTTAGATGTTAAAAAAAACTAGTTAGCTTTAATTTGTTTTATGCATTTTGACGTCTTATTGATATTCAGTTAGGCCTAAAGTATAATCTCGGTTAGATATTATATTATAATTTATACGTTACCATTATTCGGTGTCGTATATAATGTATTTAAGTGTATATAGAATAGTATTAAGGAGTGCATAGAAGTGTATATGGGTTGTTAAAGTTACACATCTTATGACATGAAAGCGAAATCGCCTAAAGTAACATATAGTACATAAAACATATCAAAACTGATGTTATATGTTATTGATATTCAGTAAAAGGTGACCGTTATAACTTGACTCTTTTCGCGCGCTGGTTCCATGAAATGTAGAACTATTGTGTTGCGTCAAAGGGGTCTTGTTATACAGCTAGCTACTGTAATTTTATGATAAACGTGAGCTTCCGATGTTAATTTTGCGACTAGTTTACAATTTATGGAGTTAAAATTCGTTGTTCTACGTACAATAAATGTCTCAAAATGACAAAAAAAAATTGATGTTTTCGGTATTGTCTATTCTGTTCAATTATTGCAACTGGTTGCTCAAACATGTGAAAATTTTCTACTGTTTCTTAAAATAATCCTTTTTATGATTTTATAATATTTTGAAACTGTTCTAGGCCTTATTGTTTTCAAGTACGGTCAACAGAAAAAGTTTCTGATCTAATATCAATCTAAATCAAGTGACCACGAGTTAAATTATGAATGTGATTAAATTGGTTTAGATATTTTTATTGTTGACCGTACGTCGTTGCTAAAGTCTGATTTATTATTTGAGATTTCTTGTAATTATTATGTGATATGAAAAGTAAAAGTATTGAAACGATTTTTGTTTCTTTTATTTATTCATCTTTCTCACCTTTATATGTTTATTTTCCAATCTGTATATTTATATTATATTATATTAATAAAGCTTTTTATGATTGTTATATTTGAGTATGAAATTATATTAAAACTAAACATATGGCTTAAGAGATAAGTTATATTTATATATATTGATGATCGGTTATTACATATATTAGATTGTATAATTATTATAATTGTCGGATTATATAAGTATAACTAGGTAAGTATGTATACTTTTTGTGCCAAATTAATATACTACAGGTAATGAACGCCAATATAAAAGAACCCCAAACTTAAATAATAAGCTTCGATAAAATGCTCAGGATATAAAGGATGACCAAAGTTGTATCAATCAGGCCTCATTTTTTATAATGAATTATACATTTAGAGAATTTAGCGGTATTCCATAAACCGTCCTGTCGATCTAAGGGCGGAACATTTTTAATTAAACTTTAGTTTCGAAGTAGATTTGGTACATTGATGTCGATTTTGTAATACATTTTACACAATAAGACGACTTTTTTTAATGCTTATAAATTACGCAAAAGTAATACCTACGTTCTACAATTTTTGTACTGTTGCTATTGTCGATGTTACATGCAAAAATTTTCATTGTAGGTAGGTAGGTAAGTAGACTATTTATTCTATTTCATATATTATATTAAATTCTACGCATTATATCAAAAACCTAGCACATATTTAATTTAAAATGTATTTTATTATATTACTTATTATTTTAAAAATAGGTCTGACTGACCTAAGACGAAATTTTGTATTAATTCTCAAAAATAAGAAGCCACTGGCATAAAATAATAATATGTTTAAATACACTGAAGTATAAATTTATGGATGAATTCAAGCAGTGAATTAAAAATAAATAATTCTTTCTATTCTTAGTACCTATATAATTTATATAAAAAAATATATATAAATTATTATATAATATAAAATGGCTTACCTAAATAGAATCTATAGTTCTATAAATTCTATGTATACCAAAGAATTAGAATGCTATTCGACTAAGCAGCATTTTAAATTAAGGAAATATTATACTTAAAGAAAGCTAATTAGTGAAAATAAATTTATATATATAAAATTGTTATTATTACCGCAATTTATTACTGTAATAGTTTAAAAAATATAATAATCACTGCCGTTGAAACGAAGTTTATATATAATAATTTTATAATTATGCCGGTTTATTTTCGATATATAATTATGATTATTTACATTTATTCTTCCATTAATTTTATATTAAGTACTACGCTTTAAAATGAAATGTTCCCTTTATACATATTTATCATTAATATTGTGCATTTAGTTTTTTTATATAGGGATAATATCTATCGGTTGTGTGTAACTAATGTTTATTTATACTTATATATCGTTTATATATTGAAATTGTAGTTGAATACCCAAATACTATGTAAATAAATATATATTATAATGACATTATAATCGAAATTCAATAAATTGTGAGACATAACTTGTCTTATTATTTTTTCATTTTAAGCTGCCTAGTACCATTGTCACTTAAATTAGTGCAATTGCTAATTTGCAACATCTTTCCTAAATTGTATTTATAGAATTACTTTTTGGTGGTATTCTACGGCAACACATTTAGAATTTAAAAATACAATACAAGAAAACATAATGTTAATTTACTGGAATTACAAATAAATACTGTATATATATTTTTTTGTAATTCCAATAAATTAACATTACCCACGTTATGAAAAGTGGCTACAAATATGAACAGCACAAAGGACGTCATATCGTCACGTGGTATACCAAGACACCCGTGGGATACCACGGATTATCCGCAACACATTTTTTTATTGCTGGCGACATGTAGGTAAGAAATAGTTTTACGGCTGTAATGTTTTTATTTAATTTAAATTTGGAATGGCAACAAAGCTTAATTAAGTAAAAGTAAGGGATATCCATTATCTACCCATAAACAGTAGTAAATTAAATTAAAATTAAGTAAATTAGCTAAACAATATGGGTATGTATTGTGCCATGCAACTATACATTAAAAAATCAATTTATTCATGCAAGACATTTTAGCAGCTTATGAACGTCAAATATTTGTAATTTTTTTAAAATATTAATTACTAAAAGGCTTCAGTATGTAGACTGGATAATAATCTGGATCACTCTTTAATGATTATTTTATGACCTAAATATAGCCATGCCATTGGTTAATTTACCCAAATTGAGATCAAAGTTCATTAAAGTAGATAAACTCAATTCAATTTAACAGTTTTACTATAGCATTTTGCGTGTCAAAAAGTAAATATGGCTACGTTTCGATTCTAGACGTACTTATTTCATACCTAATATTTATTGGAAAAAAAAAAAATATAAAATATTATAGGGGTCAATTTTATATGCTACAATTTTTTTTACTGTTTTCAAACTATTTCAGTATTTTTTATGTATCAATCAAACAAGATCACAATTCATTTAATACATATAGATACTAAAACAGTTATTATTACCACAACAAAGCATAAAGTCGAGCGATTAAAAACCTGCGAATATAAATAACGAAAAATAATTGTGTGAGAACCTGAAGCGAAAACGTAGCTAAGTGAAAATTGAATTATTCAAACGATAAACAATACAGAGGCGGACAGGATTTAACTGACGATAAATTCTGGCTGCTATAAAAACGGCTAATTATACAAGCGCCATTAACTTAGCCGAAAAAAGGTTGAGTTTTAAGCATCATTTGTTAATCGTGCCTTTGGACGGTCGATTAGATGTACAAGATGGACGACTGGATTGATCCAACCAACAGTATGAGACAGGACAGGTTTTATAGATAAATTATGTTCATAGAGATGATTTCTTTTATGTAACTTCATAGATCAACAAACGGACGAACCACCTGATGGTAAATGCTAATCGTCGTCTATGTATATAAATAGAACCACAAAAATCGTTTGGAAGGGCATCCCATAAGGGATATCATGTTACACCCTATGACTAATGTACCCTTTCAGAGGACTAAGATGTCATGGCTCTTATGCGGTAATTTCACTGCACATACCGTACTCGACAACCGAAACACAGCATATAAAGCAAGCTGATTGGCGGTTGAAATAGGTGAGTCTAAGATTCCTATGCAATTCCTATGTTTATCTTTGGTACCACTTTACTTATTAAGTTCAGTTTTTTTAGTATAGGTATTAGTTGTCGACTTTTGATAGATACCCTTTAAGAGAATACTTAGTCCTGTCTTTACGATTCAGAATTAAAGTAATACGTTTTTAGTTAAAGCAAATCTTTCGGTTTTAACTTTTTTCCAAACTCATCAACTCTTCACAATCATCAATGTTATAACAAACAAATTTTATTCTCAGAATGGGTTCAGCATTTCTCTTTTATAAATAGCTGTAGATTAACTAATGACGCGTGACATCAATTTGGCCGAATCACGTCCATCAGAGCTTAATTTGGGGATTGCATAGGGTTCTTGCCTAAAAGTAATGTCTGGGAGGTAAAAATATAATGTGTCACTACTCCTTTATATATCTAATATAAGATGTCATCAGGAAGCAGGCAAAACATTTAATTTTAGATAAGAACTTAAGATAAGATTTTTCTCTATATGAAATACCCACCATAGCCATCAAGGTAATATAAAGTGGTACCTAAATGTAACATATAAATCAACGTTAATGTACCTAATGATATAACTGTATTTCGTAGTATCTGTATAGTCTCTTGAATTTAGATTTAAATTGTGTAGGTTATGTCTTAACACCAAATATAGGAATTCATATTTTTTTTTAATTTGCCAGGTATTTAAAAAGAGTAATAATGATCATATAAATTAATAATCATGGACATACAATACAACGTCATCCGATCCCAAAATAAGTTGAGCATTTGGTATAAATCAACTGACGGGTATACTTTTTGTAGAGTACGTATAGTGTATATGTATAAAAAAGAAAATTAAAAAACAATACAAAAATAGACCACCTCGACTGTTATCCGAGATTGGGTGTCAGGCATTGTCAACTATCGTTGAGGTCGAGAATGCAATAATTGCCCACTTTTCGCTCAACATATTATGAATACAACTTGGTATGGTTACCGCCTACCGCTCGGATTATGTTTTTGGATTCATATCGTTTTTTCCTATCCGCAGAAATATAAATTGACACATATTTTTTTTGTGTCAGCCAGATTTTCATTCCAGACCCTGTTACGCGTAATTCAGGATAGTAAACCACTAGGCCACAACGTTATAAATCAAATTATACTTATGAGTATATATAGTCATAAATAGAGGTGTTTAATTAAGCAATCATCGAACCTACGAGTGGAAAACGAGAAAGCACTACACTACTGTGGTAATCACAACCAAATACAGTATGAAATAAATTTAAACAATGTCAGTCGACCACAAAACTGCATTTCTCATCGGCATCCGTCCGTAAAGTAGATAAAATCCATCCCGTGTCGTTAAGTACACGGATGGATGTCGTGCCAATACTTCCGTGTGGTCGCGTGGCAAATTTCTCATCAGCCATCGCGATCGACTGCAACGTGCAACCAACATTTACACCATCCGACAGCCACTCCGATCGATTCTCCGTCAAATTCAAACGGGGATCGAAATTATGAGTGATTTTATGAAATTATAGCGGTGTCCTCAGAATGAAGTCGTATCTGTCAGGCGGGAGTTGGTCTTCAGCGGCTCGATAAGTCTTTCCGTGAGTTTAGTCTTTCCGCTTCACCGAACGATAGGGAGCAATCCCTATCGTTCGGTGAAGCTGTAAAGGCTGCGGCCAATATTATTAGAGCACTCGGTAAAAA